TTGTAACAAGGTTAGCTCGGTAGCGGGTGTGTGTGACCCCTTGGATGGGTGCACAACACAAAAAAAAGATAGGCACAGCACAACAATAGTGGAGGTGAAAACAAACAGGTGCAATTTATTTACAATATTTACAGAAAAAATGGTAAACCAAAAAGAAACATCAAAATAAATCCTGGCCAACTTGGCTACTTACTGCAACAACAGCGTTCCCTAGCTACCCACTAGGTACAGCCTGCTGCTATACCTAGTTGCTAGTATTTGGAGGCTAGCCACACAGGCTTTGGTCTCTCTGCACACAGATAACACTGTTCAACAGGTAAAAAGTTTTGGGCATAAAATTAGCTAATCTTACATAATTTTGGGGTGCTGAAAACGAAAATGACCCTAAAAAATGTTGATTGGCTCTAGTTTCCATGATATATTCACCCATCTAATGACGTAAGCCATTCAAAATTATGATGCAACTTCAGCTGCATATTGCGCAATTGATACTGGTGACCAATAGAAAATTGCATGTATACTGAGATGATGCAATATTAGCCTTTAATTGCATCACTTCACTGCATAAAAGCTGCAGTATCTGCAGCTGATTGTAGTTCGACAGCGTCTTTACATTTCGTTTTATGCTTATATAGGCTACTCAGTAATGCCTCGAACTTGTGTGAATAAAGCAGATAATTTCTGCTATATCTGCGGTGAAATAACTTTTATCTCACAAAAAAGGAGGATAACAGGAATGATTAAGAAAGCCTACAACTTGTATTTTGGCTGCAAGATAGGAGACCAGGACAAGAGCTGGGCACACATATATGCTGCAATTCTTGTGGGACGGCACTGGAGCAATGGTTGAATGGAAAAAAGACATCTATGCCTTTCGCTGTGCCAATGATTTGGAGAGAGCCAACAGATCATGTTCGTAATTGTTACTTTTGTATGGTGCCTCCAACAAAAGGGCTAAATAAGAAGAAAAAGTTATCTGTGCACTATCCAAATATTTCACCGGCAATACGTCCAGTTCCTCATGGAGAGGGGCTACCAATTCCTAAAGCACCAGAATCCTTCGTGGTTGAGTCAAGTGAGGAAGAACCTGAAGCGTGTAGTCACGTGCAGTTGTAAGAGATAGCCCTTTCCTCGAATACAAGAGAAAAGCCAAGAGAAGCAAAACCGACACAAACTGAAGACAAAACTAGTGAGAATCCTAAGTATTAAAATGATTCAACTTAGCTTATGGCTATAATTTTTCTTGGTAATCCTATGCAATATATTATGCCATTTAGGCTTTGTTATGTAGTCAATATCACTTGCTTTATATTTGTGGAAAGACATCTATCTATATAATTATTGTGCATTATGTAGTCATTACGCCTATAGTAGAAAACTTTCCGTTTACAGAAAAACTAGAGCCAATTGACAAATTTCATTGTTATATTTGAACTCAGAATGTGAAATTCATTAAGAAATGGATCCTTTTGTTTCCAAAACTGGCAAAAAAAAAAAATTTGTTGAACAGTGTAACAGGTCAGCTCCCCAGACAGTTCAGGCACAGATCTGGTTCCAGGGTGGAGCCACTCCCTAAGCACTCTGGGAAGCTTTACACTCTGGGAAGCTTTAGCTGCGCTCATTACTTCAGTGCTGAAGGACTCAGCACTTCCCTCTAGTGGTACAAATCCCCATAAAGCCTGAACCTCGGACAAATATATCGTCCATCCAGGACGCAACCAGGTGATTTCACCTGCCTACTGTCACAGTGTATTATGCATTATTTAATGGGAAGTTTAGGGTAGTAACAAAATAATACATACTCACCTCCATGCTGCAGCATCGGTGTGATACTGAAGCTTTCCCTTCTGCCAGCTCTAAGACCAAGAACGTGACCACTGATTGCTCAGTTCTTGGTCTTCTCAGAGCAGAAAGTGGTCACCAGAGTGCCGGGGCTGTGGAATGAGAACAGTGTCATCATAAATGGTGTGGCGGTGCTCAGGGACACTGATTAGTGACAGTATGTAAAAAAAAATTTTTTTTTTTGCATACCCTAACCAGAGAAATACAGTGTTACCAGAGTAACACTGTACTACTCTGGGGAGATAATTAGAATTTTTTTTTTTCACACTACGATTGCTCATAACAGTGAAAATCATAAGCAACGTTATAAGCAACTATTTTAGTCTGAATTAAGTTGATTCATTCAGTGTGTATTATTGTGATTAGCTGTGATTGGCCACAGCTAATCACATGGCACAGATGGGCTGTGATTGGCCTTATCTGTACCATGTGATCACTGTGACCAATCACAGAAATCAACACAATAGTACACAGTGAATGGCATGAACGGAAGCCATCCATTGTGTACAATTGTCATAGGATCTGCTGGGATTGGTCACAGTGACCACATAGTACCGGCAGCGGGCTGGTACTGATTTGTCATCCAGTGTGTCCGTTGGACACAGCAGGTGACAGATCCCGCCATAGCGGGGCCCTTGAGGCATGCGCAAGGCATGTTCTGGGGAGGGTGTCACATAGGGGTTTATTTACTAAAGCTGGAGAGTCCAAAATCAGACTCCCTTCTGCATAGAAACCAATCAGCTTCTAACCTCAGCTTCTTCAATGAAGCTTTGGCAATGAAACCTGGAAGCTGATTGGTTTCTATGCAGAAGGGAGTCTGATTTTGGACTCTCCAGCTTTAGTAAATAAACCCCATAATGTCCACCCAGAACAAGGAAGATCTCGCCCAGCCGTCATTGTACTATAGGCCGGGCAGGAAGCAATTAAGATCAAAATGTTTAGGCTTTACAACCTTTCATTTGTAGGGATTTCCTCACTTCCTGTTTTGGTGATGGGACAGGAAGGGAAGGTAAATCTCTCCAATGGGACACAGATAGCAAACAATAAACTAACAGGGGTTATAACTCTCCCTTACTCTATCCAAAATGGAAAAAGAAAAAGTTTTGTCCATAGTTCTACTTTAAGGGGGAATGAAGCTCAAGTGCATACTTAGCAGTTTGGGGGAATCAATGCCCAGTTGAGCCTTCTTTTAAAATATTTATTCATTTTCTCACATTAGCCCTGTCATGACTGGTTCTCTTTGACCACACAGCAGGTGTAGCGGCAAGGTGAGTATGCCATGGAAATCGGTATCCCTGAAGCAACTGCGCATGTGCGATATAAGGCACGACAAGCCGATCACCGAACTACTGCAGCCGAACAGGCACCTGAGTGGAAGTAACCCCTCGCATGCCGAGTGGTCGGCAGGACACCGCCAGGATCGGCAGGAGACAGGCTGAATCATTAAAGCCTTATATGCGTCTCTCCGCCCTGTGTGAGGAGCGGAACTGAAGTCCGCCAGGGATCAGCGAGTTTACACCTCCAGCGCACAGAAGGTTCGCGCATCCGTTGGACTCTATGGCGCGTTTCCGGCGTGGCGCGTCAGGTGGGTGACGTATCCTTAGCCGGTATCGTGTGCTCGTTGGGGATTGTGTGTGGGAAGGCGGCCTGTGATATTGTGCGACTCAACGGCCGCAGCCGCGTCCTGCCATCGCCGGAGAGACCGCGCCGTACCCGCCGGGGCTCCCAGAATCCTCTGCGGCTCCTACAGCCGTTCCCGAACTTACTACAGCCGGAGACCTATTATCTACCACCGCTCTCCCAGAATCCCCTGCGGCCAGAGACCCACTACCAACCACAGCTTTCCCAGAATCCCCTGCGGCCAGAGACCCGCTACCTACCACAGCTCTCCCAGAATCCTCTGCGGCCGGAGACCCGCTACCTACCACAGCTCTCCCAGAATCCCCTGCGGCCAGAGACTCGCTACCAACCACAGCTTTCCCAGAATCCTCTGCGGCCGGAGACCCGCTACCTACCACAGCTCTCCCAGAATCCTCTGCGGCCGGAGACCCGCTACCTACCACAGCTCTCCCAGAATCCTCTGCGGCCGGAGACCCGCTACCTACCACAGCTCTCCCAGAATCCTCTGCGGCCGGAGACCCGCTACCTACCACAGCTCTCCCAGAATCCTCTGCGGCCGGAGACCCGCTACCTACCACAGCTCTCCCAGAATCCTCTGCGGCCGGAGACCCGCTACCTACCACAGCTTTCCCAGAATCCTCTGCGGCCGGACCACCCTAGTAGTCGATTGGTGACTCTGCCAACAGTTCTGCATTCCTGTGCTTTGAATTTGGCTCTCCCAGAATCCCCCCTGGCCAGTCCTACTCCCTGAACTTGTCTCCCAGATTCCCCCCTGGCCAGTCCTACTCCCTGAACTTGTCTCCCAGATTCCCCCCTGGCCAGTCCCACTCCCTGAATTCAACTCTCCCAGAATCCCCTGTGGCCAGTCTTACTCCCTTTACCTATCTTTCCCAAAATCCTCTGTGGCCAGTCCTCCCAGAATTCTTACATATTCACATTCCACCACCCCCACGTCATAATCTTCCTCCAGTATTTTCCATTTAGCCACCTTACAGCCTCTAATATCACTGTTCACCTTTCACACTAGTGTGTTTGTTTTCTGTTGACTCAGATTGCACAGTCCTACATTTTATTTCTTCTCTATATACAACACTCTTTTTAAAATCAGATTTCATAGTCTGGCTCCCTGTTGCCCAGAGCTTCACCTCCAGAAGTTTTTCGGGGTGATATTTCATATTCACCAGTGTCACTTTACTAGCTAATCTTTTATTACCTTCAGAAGTTTGCCTAATTCTTGATAATTCTTGCACTCTTCACTAGTTACCTCGAGTCACACATTTTGTGACCTGATAATCCTTTGTTACTTATTACATTAGTTCACCGTTCCTATTTTACAGTATCCTGCCTCCCTGGAGCTGACTGCGTTCACATTTCATTTTCCAGTTTCTCCCAGCCACTATTTGTATTCGGGTTCTGCCAACAACCACTAATCTCAGTATATATTTATATTATACATAGTATCTTAAGGCTTATATCTCTGAATCAGCATTTCATTCATTGTGACTAGTAGTTCGGTATTTGTATCTATTGAGACAGTCATGGCATCAAAGTCGGTGAACATGTTGGATCTGGAGAAGAGTTGTGTGCTGTGCTGTCAAGAGCTGGATGTATACGCAGTGGGCAAATGTGACCATCCCATCTGCTACCGCTGTTCCACCAAGATGAGAGTGCTGTGTGAACAGAAGTACTGCGCCGTGTGCAGAGAAGAATTGGATAAGGTACGTCCAAAAATTGTTGGCAGATGTGACTTTGAAAAGATTAGAAAGGGCTTATTCACACTGGTGTATTTAAAGCAGAGCTCCTCCCAAGAGGGGAAGCTTCATTTGTCTGCCTCTTCCCCCCCCTCCATTGCAACTTTTGCCACTTTTTGGGGGAGAGGGGGGAGCAGGTACCTGGTTTTGACACTTCATAGGTCCCAGTCCCGCGCATGCGCAGTAGGAAACTGGCTGTGAAGCTGAAAGACTTCACTTCTGGTTTCCCTTACTTGCAATACCGGTGCTGGGAACCCAGGGGCTAGTGAAGAAGTAGCCTGGGTAACAATGATGTTGGACCCCTGGACAAGTAAGTGTCCTTATATTAAAATACTTAATTTTTTAGGGGGGAGCCTGGACCTTTTTAAGTGTACATCCACATGGAGGGTTGCATTGGCCCAGGTTTTCAGTGCGTCCCTGTGCAGGCAGTTTTATTCATGTTTGCTGGGGTGCAACAGCTGCATGAACACAGCCACTGCTGTCAGGTTGACATCCATGTGGGTGCGTGATCCCAAATGCAGACCGTGTGAGTTCAGGAACATCCACCCACATTATTTATTTCAGGTACTTATATAGCGCCATCAATTTACACAGCGCTTTACATATATATTGTACATTCACATCAGTCCCTAACCCTCAAGGGGTGTACAATCTAAGGTCCCTAACTCACATTCATACATACACATACTAGGGACAATTTGGACAGGAATCAATTCACCTGCCAGAGCAGGGTGGCTTTGATTTAAATCACAATTTTAATCACGATTTAAATCACTAGTCAGTAAGGCTTGATTTAAATCCTAGTTTTCTACATAAAGACTCATTCTTGCTGGTATAACTTTAATATGCAAGTAGATGAAGATTTTTAGAATATTCCCAGTTTAATAGGTTAATCATTCATATTTGGACAACTTTTCTGTTGTATTTAGGAAGGAGAAAAAAAAAATCTATTTAAATTGTTATTAAGGTAATGATTAATTCATCTGAAACAATAACATTCCAGCAGATGTGATTTGCTTAAACATCCATGTTTGTTAACTAATTTGGCTAAACAAAATCTATATATTTGAAGAAACTTAGACTGTCAGCCCCTTCCTCCTCACACTTAGTTTCACTTTCTTCTTGTGCAGATCTATTCCACTCCAAACAATCAGAAAAATATTGTTTCTATTCTATTCACTGAACTTCTTGAACCTTAGCACTGAAGGGGTTGATTCTGTATTCATAGGTTTGTAGAAGTTAGGATGAAGGTCTTTTTCTTAACTCTGTTCATGTTATAACATTTTTGCTGTGAAGAAGAGGCATGTGATCTCCGCTGAGTCAAATTCAGTTTTGAAAACTGCAAAAGTAAACCAATCATCTGTGATAATATCTTGTAGGCAGAGAAACTGCCCAATAATCTTACAACAACCTCTGGAAGAGCATGACATTGTGAATGGATTCATGGAATTTATTTACCAAAAAAATTAAACATATACAGCCTTATTCTACATAATTAAAAAACTAATCTTTATTTCATGATGGAATAACCTTTGGATGGTAATATATTTTCCTCAAAAAGCATTTTATATAAAAAAAATCTGATTTAAATAAAAAAAAAATCCAATTTTTAAAAAAAAAAAATCATTGATTTTTATCCACCCTGCCTGCCAGCATGTCTTTGGAGGTGGGAGGAAACCGGAGTACCTGGAGGAAACCCACGCAAGCACAGGGAGAACATGCAAACTTCATGCAGGAGGTGCCATGGTTGGGAATCAAACCCATGACCCATTTACTGCAAGTCCGACGTACTAACCATTAAGCCACTGTGCCTCCCACATGGATGGCTGATTGGGAGCAGTGGCTGTGCCCACGTAGCTCCTGTGTACCAGTAGACATAAATGGGACTGCCTGCATAGGGATTATGCAGAGCACCTGGGCAAAAGTGTCCCTTCGCATGGATGTAGGCTTAGGTATGACAGTGTGAATGAGGCCTTAATAAGTGGTTTTAGCAAAGCAAAAGTGAAAGCGTTATCATTTGGAGTTACAGCTAGTTTCAGATTCCTGGCACTGCGAACAAATGCTTTGAACATGAATGTGCTCTCAGGTCTTTAATGTAGCAACAACATTAGCTGGTTCCTTAAAACATACATTTCTGTGTGGGTTTCAGTTCATATTTATTCAAATGCCTTTTGCTGTCTGAACATTTGTTTTTTTTTTTTCTTCTTCTTAAAAAAGGTCAGTAATATTAAACCCTAAATTCACGCTTCCTCTCAGATTAGCAGGCCTAAAGATTGCGGCTTCAGCTTACTGGCTTTAACCCCTTGCCCACCTGAGGATTTACCCCCCCCCCCCCCCCTCCTGACTAGACCATTTTTTTGCGCTACTTTAACTGACAATTGCGCGGTCATGCAAAGCCACACCCAAATAAAATTTACATCCTTTTTTTTTTTCCCCACGAATTGAGCTTTCTTTCGGTGGTATATGATCGTGTGTGCGTTTTTTTGTTTTTTGTGCTATAACAAAAAAAAAAGGCCGATGATTTTGAGAAAAAAAAAACAATATTTTGGACTTTTTGCTATTAAACATGTTCAGTAAAAAAATTAAAAAAATCAAATTTGTCATAAATTTAGGACAAAATGTATTCTACTGCATGTCTGCTAAAAAAAGAATCCCAATACGTGTAAATTGGTTTACGTGAAAGTTATAGCATTTACAGATGGCGGTATAGATACTGGGATTTATTTATTTTCTACTAGTAACGGTGGCGATCAGCGACTTATAGCGGGACTGTGGCGGACATTCTGACACTGGGGGGGAAATGACTTGGTGTCACTAACACCATTACAGTAATCAGTGCTAAAAAAAAACCCACTGACACTGTACTAATGGCACTGGGCAGGAAGAGGTTAACATGAGGGGCGATCAAAGGGTTAGCTGTGTGCTGGTAGTGTTTTACTAGGGGGTGGTGTGTTGGTGCCCGGGGCGGACTGACCATTTGGAAACTCGGGCTCTGCCCGAGGGCCCGGGGTCAGTATGGGGCCCCTTGAGATGCCCCTGGTACCTTTTTCATAGGCTTTTTTGAGTTTGGGCAAGGACACAGGGGCCCCATGATCCCCCCTATTGCACAGGGGCCCCATGAGTTGTCAGTCCGCCCCTGGTTGGTGCTTCACTGTAATCACACTGCTCTGGATGGCTGTGCACAGCCATCCAGAACAGTGTGCTCGAGCTGACAGTGAGGAGGATTGTTAGTAAACAAAACAGTCGTCCCCCCTGTCGGTGATCATCGGAAATCACCGGGGGCCTGCGAGTAATTGCTGGATGGGATACGGTGATTGACGGTCACAAATGGAGGCATGGGTTCCCTACCCAAAAATGCAAAATCACACACACACACTACACACATATATATATATATATATATATATATATATATATATATATATATATATATATAGTGTATAGTGTGTGTGATGTTGCGCACCCGTGCCTCCCTGTAGCAATATTTCTGGTATAGTGCAGTCGGCAAGCATTTAAGGTGCCTCTGCTGCCCTGCAGGGTTCAATAGAGTGGTCCTTTTGCGCATGCTCTGGCCATTATGACTCTGCCTGCACAAGCAGCCAAGGAGGAATATACAGGCACGAATGCGCAGTGGTGCTTAGAAACATGGACTATATAGTCCTGAGAAAGGGGATCAAGGGGACTTCTCATAATGTCAGGAGTGTACGCTCCCTGACCTAAAGCCTTGGGAAGCAGCAAAGAGGAACCCCAGAGGCTACATCGATGAACACAACTAATTGGAAGTGTTTATGGACTTCTGTTTAAGGAACTATTGCTCTTATTCAGTATATCTTTCCAATACATGCACATTTTCTCCACTTAAAAATGCTACAGAAACATCTGCTAGAAATCCAGTTTGTTCCTAACTTCCTATTTGAATTGACAACATGGTTCCTCTGCTGCTCTGAATTCCCAAATGGTATTGTCAGCCATTCAAACAGCCGAAGAGATGGAAGACTGGGTGAAGATGGAAGCACCCAGGGCCAGTGGGAGCAGTGACAGTGCAGTACTAGAGGGCTCAGTTTGATATGTAAGTCTGTCATAATATGTGAATGTGGTGCATAGTAGCATATTATGGCATAATCTGCAGTGTTTTTGATTTTTTTTTTTTGTTTTTTTTAAATCAAGTAGTTTTTATTGAAGTATTTTTGCAAGTCAACGTATCAACAAACAAGAAACATAACTATGAAATGAAACAACATGTCAGCACCGGCAAATGTCAAGCCGAACGTCATATGAATAGCCCAAACAACAAAAGAAGAAAAGAAAAAAAAAATACAATATCTGAGATTACAGGTCATATATAAACCAAAAAAACAAAGAACTTTGTTTGTCATATAGAGATCGTGAATCTGCAGTGTTTTTAATACAAAAAAAAATGTGGTGGAGCTTAATGCTGCTTTAATAGCCTTCGTGAACTTAAAATTTGCCTCACCCTGCAGCTCTCTGCACTGCTTGCTTGCGGCTTTTATACATGTCTTTTGCCACCTATGGCTGGCTGTCCACTTTGACACCTTCCTGGCGGGATAACCCAGGCGGGTTTGGACTCGTGTTTGACCACACCTGAGCTCATCTCTATTTGCTTGAACTGGAAGTTTCGGGAGCTAGCATTCTAATCATGGATCATCTTCAGTTCACAACACTGCCCTGGCAAAGCTATTGAAAGAGGAGCAGGAGGCTTGGCTTTGAGTACGGAGCTGCTGGCATATCAGGATGTAGTCCTGGCTGTGGCTCACATGCAAGGGTTGGTTGGTCAGCACCGTCACATGGATGTTGCTGATCAAAAACGCCCTCTAGTCTGAACTGTCATCCCTGCAAGGAGAAGAGAAAGCGGCGGGGATTTCAAATCCCTGCCACTGTCTCTCCTCTCCTACAACTGAGAATATGGAGCATTTGCCACCATGGTATATACATCCCCACACATCCAC